GAAGTGTCTATTCAGGTCCTCTGCCCATTTTTTAATTTTTTTTTCTTTTTTTGGTTGAGTTGTATGAGTTCTTGGTAAATTTTGGATGTTGACCCCTTATCAGATTGGTGAGTATCTTCTGTCATTCAGTAGGCTGTCTTTCTGTCTTGGTGGTGGTTTCCTTTGCTGTGCAAAAATGTTTTAGTTTGATGTAGTCCCATTTGTTTATTTTTTCTTTTGTTTCCCTTGCCTGAGGAGACAGATCAGAAAAAATATTACTAAAAGCAATGTTAGAGAGCTTACTGCCTATGTTTTCTTATAGGAGTTTTATGGTTTGGGATCTTAATTTAAACCTTTAATCCCTTTTGAGTTTATTCTTGAATGTGGTGTAAGAAGGTGATCCAGTTTCATTTTTTTTTGTGTATATATTTGTCCAGTTTCCCCAGCATCATTTATTAAATAGACCATGTTTACTGTATATTCTTGCCTCCTTTGTTATAGATTAAATGACCATATAGGTATGGGTTTATTTCTGGGCTCTCTGTTCTGTTCCATTGATCTATGTGTCTGTTTTTATGCCATCGCCATGCTATTTTGATTATAGGCTCATAGTATAGTTTGATATCAGGTAGTGTGATCCTTTCAATTTTGTTCTTCCTCAGGATTGCCATGACCATTCAGGGTCTTTTGTGGTTCCATATAAATTTTAAGATTATTTGTTTTAGTTCTGTGAAAAATGCCAGTGATATTTTGATATAGGGATTGCATTGAATCTGTAGATTACTTTGGGTAGTATGGACATTTTAATGATGTTAATTCTTCCTACCCATGAACATGGTATATGCTTTCATTTATTTGTATCTTCAGTTTCTTCTGTAGTGTCTTACAGTTTTCTGGATATAGATCTTTTATCTCCTTGGTTAAATTTATTCATAAATTTATTTCTTTGATGAAATTGTAAATGGAATTTTTTTCTTAATTTCTCTTCCTGATAGTTCATTATTGGTGTATAAAAATGCAACTGATTTCTGATAATTAATTTTGTATCTTGCTACTTGACTGAATTCATTTATCAGTTCTAATAGTTTTTTGGTGAAATCTTTAAGGTTCTCTATATAGTAAAGAGGACCAACAGTCGAGGGCTGTCTGCTCACAGCACTTCCAGCACTGGCTGAGTAAGTTGTTTATTCTCAGAGAGGAAAACACAAAATCCATCATACTGCTCAGAATTTCAGTGACTTATAGCAGCAAACATTAATTTCTTGTATAGTCCTTGGCAGATTGTCTAGGATTTTGCTGAACTAGACTGGGCTGATGTAGGTCAGTAGAATCATAGACAATCTGCAGGTTGTGACCAGATCTCCTTCGCATGTCTTTCGTCTTCTGTTGACTAAAGTCAGTAGCACAAGAGGGCAAGTCCAAATGCACAGACACAGGTCAGGGCTCTGTTAAGTCATATATCCAAACATCCTATTGGCCAGTCAAGTCCCATGTCTAGGCCCAACGTCAGTGGAGGTCCAGGGGAGGGAGGGAGGATTTGCTGAACAATAACCCAGCCTGCCACAGTGGGATTTTGCTTAATGAACAAAAAAATGAGAATCTCACTGCCAAGATTTCATTGTCAGTCTTTCTCCTAAAATACTTGTTTGTCATCTCCATCTGTTATGAATGAGATACAATGTGACAACAACTTCAGTGCTATTTGGCAAAGAGAACAGCTTGTGCCGAGTTCTTATGAATTTTAAAATTTAGATTTGAATGGATCTTGTGTGTATCTGTATAGCTATTGAAAAAATGGTAACTATGTAAGTATTTCTCTGGAGGGAAGACTCAGTTGTTTTTATGTTTTTTAAATTCTTTTTTCTTATTTTAAATTGAGGTATACATACAGTAAAGTGTATTAAGTACTCTACACTTACGTGCACAGTTTACACATTTTTACATGTGTATGCATCCATGTAACCACCATCCAGTTCTAGATAAAAAACATTTTCCTAATGCCAAATAGGTTTCTCATGCCCCTCTGCAGTCAGTGATCCCTTCTTCCGAAGTTATGACTATTCTGACTCCTCTCACCATCGATTGTTACTCTTCTCAAAATTCATATAAATGGAATCATCCAGCATGTTCTCTTACATCTAACTTTTCAAGTTTTTATTACCTTACTGATAAACCATAGTCATTGGTTATTTGTCAAACTCCTATGTCTTTCTTAGCTTATAGAAAGACTGTGACTCTCTATAAGACAACTCTGGATGTTGTCTCTTCTGTTATAGAAAGAATCGTCCATGTTTTACGTACAGCTTTTAAGGCTAAGATTAGACTATAAAAAGTCCATTCAAAAGAAACTGCTGTGTGTCAGAAAAATGACATCAATACAGACTCATAGCCAATCATGTGATCCTCCGGTTTCCTGTGTGAAGTTCTGGTCATTGATTTCAACCCAATTATTCCCCAGGAATTCCACAGTGCATATGCCTGGTGGGATGTTTATTTCCTATACATACGGTCCATCACTGCACTCCTCTGAGCTGTGGTTTACATTGTGGGCTTTGGAGGCTTCGTAGCTCCTGGTCAGCCATGAGTCCCACCCATTCTTTCCGTTTGATTTGTGGCACAATGCAAGAGCTAGTCTTCCAAAAGGAAATGCCTACTTCGTTATTCAGTAATACAAACACGTTCTGTAAAGAACAGACATGAAATCACTTGAGATTTTGGTAATAATCACTTACAAAGGCTAAGATATTACTCTGGTCTTTGAAGCCATATTAGATAATAACTCATCATCAGTTTTAAAAGTGCCTATATGAAAAGCATTTTCATTCATCCAACATGAACAAAAGACTGAAAATACATTCATACTTTGAGTGGTTGGTAGAATATCAGCTGAGAAAAATTCATTTAATTCTGTCACTTTTAGTTTCAGAGCACCTATTAATTTATTAAAATTAAGTCTGCCTCCTATCAGCACAGTTAATTTATGTAATTATTGATTTTGAATATTTAATCGTTTTAGTTTTGTTATGCATTGTAAATTTAGGAGTTTTAAAAATAATCATTTATGGAAATACATAATTAAATGAAGGCATCCCTACATGTTATTGAACTTTCTTTTCATTTTCATAGGTCAGATATCTAGGAACAGTAATTAATTAGTTTCAGGGATGGTATATTGTAAAAGTGTATAACAGTGTACCCTACACCTAAACTGCCGAGTCTGTCAAGTGAGAAAATTGGCTAGAGAAGTGGAGTTTAATTCTGAAGTTTGCAGAGCACAAGCAAAGCATAAAGGTTAATTCTAACATTTTTGTAACCCCTCGTGCAGAAGAGTGAGAAGAAGTCCACTTGAAAGTTGAGGTTATTACTCCATGTTTATGACACATAAAGCAAAAACTACACATGGTCAGTGGTCTTAGCTGTGTTTATAACTAGAAAATTGATAGTGAAATCCCTGCTTGCTTTTACTTTGTGGAATCTAATGATTTATTTCAAGTGAGGTGTGAACCCTTGTTAAAGCAGCTAGCTACTGTACCTAAACATGTCTACATATCCGAATTCCTGGCTTTAGTTCTGTCAACAAATTCATATTCTACACCCTTATTCAATGTCTTAATGTAACTCAGTATAATTAGGCATTTTAATGCGTATATTTGCTAATTTTTTCTCTTTAACAGATTTTAGTTGATATTTGAGGTTGTTTTATGCTCTGTACAAGGTAGGGAACTGTCCACTGTTCCCTACCAGGTACTTAGGGATGACTCACAAACTAAATTTTTAAGAGACTTGTCACAAAGATGTGACCCCTCCCCATTTGTGAAAAGTTTAATTAATATCAGAAGATACTTTGTGTTAAAAAAAAAGTACAAGACTTGACTTTGCTATGTTAGAAAAAGCCAATTATATCATCCTAACTTATATTTCCTCCTTTCAAATTACTCTTCAAATCACTGTCCTTTCAAAAACAGAAAATTCCCACTTGTCTAGCTGTTTCAAGCAATCCTGTTCATCTTTTCTTGGTCTTCACATAATCTCAACCAAGTTACTTTTTTTTTTTTTTTCTTAAAGATTTTTATTGGGGAATTGGGGGAGGGGAACAACGTTGGGAATTCGGGGAAGGGGGAACAGACAAATTGCTGTTTTTGTTCTTCAGTCTAGTTGTGGAGGACGTCGTTTCACTGGCCCATGTTGGTATTATCATTGCGCTCTTCCTGGCTGAGGCAGATCGGTCACTGGCCTCTGGATGGCTGCTCACAGAGGCTCACGGTAGCTCACACCGGCTGCCGACTGCTCACGCCGGCTGCCAGCCACTCACGGTAGCTTATGGCAGCCCACTGCAGCAGGGGCTGCAGCTTACACTGTTGCAGGGGACTCACGGCAGCCCAGCTCCAGGTTGAGCTGTTGTTCACCATCTTAGCTGTAGAGGGCACAGCGTCACTGGCCCTCATGTGGGATCCGAACAGGGGACCTGCTGCTCAGAGCTGGTGTCCCAAGCCAGCTCTTTACCAATGCGCCACTCGGCCGGCCCACTATCATTCATTCTTAGTTCCATTGTTTTCTTTCCATTTCTCCTTAATACTTCATTCTCTTAATCGAACCTCAGAGTATTTTCTCAATCTCTGATACATAATCTTTTTTTTCCTTGTCAAGGAAGGCTGTGCCAACCTTGTACAGTAGCTGAAGTGACTTTGACATTTTTAACAGAAAGGATGGTGAAATTTACTGGGTTCCCAATTTAATGCCCAGAGGTCCTGGATCTTCATGGTTAGGTTGCTATAACAAACAAATGCATTTTGAAAATACATACCTTAAAAGGCAAAAACCAACCTTTTCTTAAACAGTAAACAATATTTTAAATAATTATTAAGTAATGTGCTCAAATTTTTCTTAATTTTGTTAAAAAACACCCTGCTACCTAAGTATATTATTGTAAACTAAGTACATCATGCGTTTTGGTATTTCTGTTCTTAAATCTAGGAAGTTTGTATTTATGGCTGATCTTTTGTTTTATTTATTTTCTTTAGTTTCATGCTATGGATACATTGTATAGACACAGCTATGATTTGAGCAGTGCAATTAGTGTCTTAGTGCCACTGGGAGGACCTGTTTTATGCAGAGATGAAATGGAAGAATGGTCAGCCTCAGAAGCGAGTTTATTTGAAGAGGCACTGGAAAAATATGGAAAAGACTTCAACGATATACGTCAAGACTTTGTAAGTAGAAAATTGTGAATAAAATAAAATGTTGAGGTGGGAATATGTTATTTGTTTTAGAAACCTGGTAAACCTTGAAGTATTTCTTTAGCAAGCATGTGACTTAGTAATTTTTATCTGCTCTACATAGAATGAAGACCAGTCTTATAGAGGGAGGAATTGACATTTGTTCTGGGAAGTCATTGTGAGTAAGACTCAGGGTCAGGAGGCCCTGAGTTCTTGCAGTAAGCCTTGGCAGTATGAATTCATCTTCTCTGAGTTCCAAGTTTAAAATATGGACAGCTTGTCTAACCATTTGCACTAAACATATCTGATCTCTGCTTTTTAAGCTTGTTGCCCTCCTTTAGACCTTTGCTATTTTTCTAGTTGTCTGACTAATTGTTGAGCCTCAGTTTGATGTGGGCCTTTAATATGGAAACAACCTGTTTCATTGAGTTGTCTATCTGTAATTTCTTATATCTACTGCGTTTGCTTAAAACAATTATTTTGAATTCTTTTTCAGGCAAATAGTAGATATCCATTTCTTTGGGGTCAGTTGCTAGAAAATTACTGTGTTCCTTTCTTGGTGTCCCGTTTCCTTCATGTTTCATGTTTCTCGTAGCCTTGAGTTGATTTCTGCATTTGATAGAGCAGTTACCTCTTCCATGCTTTACAGGCTGGTTTTACTGGGGCAAGGCCTTCAGCAACGGGTGAGTGTAAGGGTGCAGGCTGGTTGGGGTGTGATGGCTCCAGCTCCCAGGAAGGCCCAGTGGCACACAGTCTGTTCGGCTCCATCAGCTGAGGTCAGTGTTGGTAAAGATTGCCGGGGTTCCTCCATGGCCATGGCTGCAGGTGCCTGCAGTGACAGTAAGGGCAGTTTTGGGTGACAAAGGCTGTTGAGGGCCTCCTGATCTTTTTTTCCTCCCATGGAGGGTGTCATGGCCAAGGGGATCCCTCTTGGCAGTGGGTCTCGCTTTGGAGTGTCCTTGCCTTGGCAGTGGTACCTGAGGCATTGGCGTGCTTGGATCGGCCACAGAGCCAGGAGTGGGGCACAGAGACAGAGAGTGACAGCAGACTGGGGTCTGCGGTGCTGGCTAGCCTGCAGTTTCGGTGGCTCTGGTGCCTGACATGTACGTGTATGTGGAGCAGCCAGAGTTGTGGGGTCCAGAGTATGCATGGGGTTCAAGGTAGAGGCTGGCAGCCCTGTTCCTGGGATGGGGGCACAGCAGTGTCTTCTGGGAGTGGCCCAGCAGCATCTCCCAGGGGCAGCAATGACTGTTGGTTAGTTACCTCAGTGGCAGAAGTTGCTCGTTTCTCTGAAGAGCAGGCTGCTGGTGTCCCTAGCAACAAACATGGAGTCCTCATCTTTTTTTTTTTTTTAAGATTTTTATTAAAATATACATACAATATTATATTAGTTTCAGGGGTACACCATAGTTATTCAACATTTATATACCTAAAGAAGTGAGCACCATGATAAGTTCAGCAACCATCTGACACCGTACCACGCTATCACAATATTAGTGACTATATTTTCTATGCTGTACATTACATCCGCAGGACTTATTTGTCTTATACCTGGAAATTTGGAACTCTTATTCCCCTTTACCTTTTCCCCCCTTTTTAAATGTTTCAATTACAGTTGACATTCAATATTATTTTATATTAATTTCAGGTGTACAGCATAATGGTTAGACATTTATATAATTTAAGAAGTGATCCCCCTGACTAGTCTAGTACCCACCTAGCACTATACATAGTTATTACCATATCATTGACTATATTCCCTGCGCTTTACTTTACATCCCCATGACTATTTTGTAACTACCAATTTGTACTTCTTAATCCCTTCACCATTTTCACCCCGCCCCCAACCCCCCTCCCATCTATCACCCTGATAAATCTAGTTCCCATCTGACACCATAGTTATTACAGTATTATTGATTATATTCCTTATGCTATACCCTACATCCCCATGACTACTGTGTAACAACCAATTTGTACTTCATAATCCCTTCCCCTTTTTCACCCACCCTCAACCCCACTTCCATCTGGCAACCATCAAAATGTTCTCTGTATCTATGAGTTTGTTTCAGTTTGGTTTGTTTATTTTGTTCTTTAGATTCCACATATGAGTGAAATCACACTGCATCTGTCTTTCGCTGTCTGACATCCTCCACTCAGCACAGTATCCTCCAGGTCCATCCGTGCCTCCGCAGATGGCAGGAACCCATTCCCTTCCTTGGCTGAGCAATATTTCATCTGAGTCCTCTGCTTGAAAGCTGCAGGGATTCTGTCATGGAGGCTGTCGAGGTCCTCAGTGGCAAAGGCTGCCAGCCTCCTCTGTAGAGCAGGCCACTGGGGACCTCAGTGGCAGCCACCTTGTGGCTTATACTGACAGCCTCTACCCTTCTTTGTTCTTACCCATTTCCAGATGTCTCAGCTAAGCCCATCTCCACAGTGATCCTTTCTGTGCCATTATTTATTACTTGCCGCACAGTGTTGCTGTGAGTTCTTAATTTGACTCTTGCACCCTCCCAGGGCTATTTTCATTTGTCAGTAGCTATCTGTTTTGGTTTTGGTTTTTTGGTTTTTTTTGGCGGGGGGACGGGGACACAAGACTGGTATCTCCTACACCTCTATCTTGCTGACATCTTTCTCCCTGTCTATTTCATCTTTTCTAGTTTATTGTCATAAAGTTGTTCATAATAGTCTCGTATTATCCTTTTAAGGTCTGTCATCGGATGGATCTGTAGCGATGATTTCTCTTACATTCCTGATAATGGTAATTTAGGTCTTCTCGCTTCTTTCCTCATCAGTCTGGCCTAGCGGTTGATCAGTTTTAGTGATCTTTGCAAAGAACCAGCTTTTGGTTTGATTGACTCTCCTGTTTCATTAATTTCTGCTTTTATTTTTATTATTTCCTTCCTTCAACTTGCTTTGGGATAATGTGCTTTGTCTTTTCCTAGTGTCTTTGTTTCTTTCTTATTTTTCAATTATAGTTGACATGCAATATTCTATTAGTTTCATGTGAACAGCATAGTGGTTAGACATTTATATCACTTACAAAGTGATCCCCCGATAAGCCTAGTATCCCTTTCACACCATTCATAGTTATTACAATATTATAGACAATATATTCCCTACGCTGTACTTTAAGGTTGAAGCTTAGATAATTTATTTGAAACATTTCTTCTAATGCAGTTATTTATTGATAGTATATATTTAGCTGACAATGATTTCAGCTTTGCCTGAAAAAACTCTTTACTGTTTCCTTTAAAAATATATTTTGCTCTTTCTGTAATTCATTTATTTTTCTCTTTCAATAGTTAGTCTATTTGGCTTATGTAATTTCTGATGAGAATTTCCTGTGTATGTAAATGTTTCCTTTTCTTTGTATTCAGATTTTCTCTTTACTCTTGGTTTTTACCAGTTATTACTACTACATGGTGCCTGGGTGTGTTTTTCTTTGTAATTCTACTTGTAGTTCACTGAGTTTCCTAGAGCTGAGATTTTCTTTATGTATTAACTTGTGTAATTGGTATTGAATTATTTTCTAGTACACTGTTTTCTCTGTTGTGTTCAGTATATTGATAAACTTACTAAAGGAATTCTTCAAATATGGTAGCATACATTTTTCTAACATTTACATTTTATTCTTTTTTTATGCTTTTTATCTGTTTAAATTCCCCATCTATTCATGTGTGTTGTCCACCATTTTATAGATCCTTTAATATATTAGTCATTGTTATTTTAAAGTCCCTATCTGATATTTCTAACATTTGGGGCCATATTGGGGTCTGTGTCTATTGCCTGATTTATTTCTTGAAAATGGGACATTTCATGCTTTTTAAAATATCATATTTTTGATTGGATGGGGAACATCTGTATAAACAACAACAGAGAGAGAGTTCAGTAGTATTTATACTCTGAAATGAGCAGGCAGCTTCTCTTGCTAGGTCGTTATTATGGGGAATTGAGTCTGGCTAGTTTTTGTTAGTTACCTTCAGTGTACCACATACTAGAAGGCCTAAAATTTTCTGTACTTCAGTGACAGTTTTGAGCCTCATAGGGCCCCAAAAGCTTAATTGTAAGTTGCCTTGGTTTTGTCGGATATCCTCCTCACCTATTAGGAAAGGCTGTCCACCTGACTAGTTGCTCTCACACCTCACCCAGTCTGCAACCTAACAGGTTTCACTTCCCCGCCAGCCTGAAGAATTATGCAGACAAACCGATCACATCCTCCCATGGGAAGCTTTTTTAGGAACCCAGGGACACTTACTTCTTGTTCCACAAAGCCTCACTTCCATAACCCCTACTGGCCCACCGTACCCTAGTGCAACCCCCGTGTGACCCTGCATGGTGTCCTCTTCCCCTGGGCTGTGAGCATATGACGCTAGTAAATTGCTGCCAGTCTCATCTGTTTTGAGTGTTGTATGTTGGACGTTTGACCATCTTGTACTGTTTTGAGGGGCGGATCCCTAACTGAAAGTGAATACGAGGTGTTCTGAACACCCACAGCCTTCTAAGGCTTACCTGTGCTTAATGTGGAGCCTGGAATGCCGAGGGTTTTTTCGGTGTTCCTGTTATATCCTCAGCATGCCAGGTACTGAGCCTCTCCACATTATTGCCCTTCTGATAGTAGCGTGGCGTTCCTTGTTACTGCCTGCGGGGTTCATGGTGAGGGCACAGAGGGTTTCCGTCCTCCTGTTCTAGCCCCAGCCTTAGGCAGGCTTTGCGTCCCCGAGTCTCAGTGGCAGAGTCCCCTGGTATTTCTGCTCTTCCTGCAGCTCCCTTGTGGCAACCAGTCTCTGCCTTCTGCTGCCTTTTACTGTCAGGGATGCATGGATGGGCACCAACTTCCTGCCCCTCGCAAGTGGCAGACGGCTTTTGCTCGGTATGAAAGAAGGATCTCAGCAGCCAGGGGTTTTCTCTTCTGGTCCCCAGTGGCAGCTGACCACCATTTTTTGCACACCCACATCACCACCAGTGGAGGTGTTCTTGGGTCTCTTGCCCTGTCC